GCCTGTGAATAAATGTTTGAGAGAAATGGGAGTATTGAATGGGTAGGTCATTAGATCACTGGGATAAGGTAATAAGAAAAAACAACAAATAAGTTATTTTTCCACAAAGTCCTCCATTGGCTCTTCATAGTATATGGGAAAAAGTGCAAATGCCTGACCATGACTTCGACTCTGGTCTACCTGCCTTCCAACCTCATCTCTTGCTATGTCCTGCATTTGGTCCTGGGCTACCACAATGTTCAAATGCTTCCTTCCTCTTTCATTCTTCTTCTTCTTTTTTTCCTTTAATGTGTTTCCTTTATGTCTTATGCTCAGGCCATCTTCTTTCTGTCTGGAATCCCTTCCTCTACCTTTCTACCTGTTTAAATCATCACTCCACTTCTAGCTGGGTCATGGGACTCTTTCTGATGTGTTTTCATAAACTCTGAACATTGTACCTCTTCTCATGCATTCTTATTCCCCTCACTAGACTCTAGCCTAAATGCCAGGCATGAAGAAGGCATCCAATGCAAGTTTGTTTAATGTAAAATGAATATTTCAGTATATACCTGAAGTTAGGAAAAAATTTAAATAACCATAAAACTATAATAATCTGTTCTAGTGTCCTGTAAAAGAACCTTGGTGGCACTGTAGGATAAGCACTAGAATGCTAACCCAGCATCCACTCCTTGGGATAAAGATGAGACTTTCAGCTTCCATAAAGATTTATAGCCTCGGAAACCTTCTACAGGGTCTATAAATTGGAATCAATTCAGTGATAGTGGGTGGATGAGTGGAGTATAATGTATTACCAGAAATACCCATTGTTGTTGTTGTTGTTAGGTGCTGTGGAGTCAACTCCAACTTTTAGTGACACTATGCACAACAGAATAAATCACTGATTAGTCCTTTGCTATCTAAACAGTTGTTATATATGAGTTCATTGTTGTAGCATCTGTGTCAATCCATCTCGCTGGGGATTTTCCTTTTTTTCACTGACCCTCTACTTTTCCAAGCATGATGTCCTTCTCCAGGGACCAGTATCTCCTGAGATCATATCCAACTTACATGAGACATACTTGGTTGTAAGGAGTACTCTGGGTGTATTCAGTTCTTCTATGGTCTTCCTAATTCATTGTTCAACTTTCACATGCATAAAATATAACTGAAAATACTATAGGTTCGGTCAGTCTCACTTTAGTCCTCAAAGATTTGCTCAATGTAATATGTCCTTTGATTTTTTTTGTCCTCTGCTTTATGAGCATTGATTGTGGATCCAAGTAAAATGAAATCCTTGTATCCTTTCACCATACTTATTCCATCTGTATGCTGAGAAAATAATCCAAGAAGTTGGATTGTATGACAACCCTTTATCTTGATTCTGTTTATTGGTCCAGTTATGAGGATTTTTGTTTTCTTTAGACTGAGTTGTAATCCATACTGAAGGATGTAGTCTTTGATCTTCAACAGTAAGTGCTTCAAGTCCTCCTGGCATTCAGCAAGAAAAGTTGTGACATATGCATATTGCAGATTGTTAAGGAGTCTTCAGTCTTGATGCCACTTTTTTTGGTCATACAGTCCAGCTTCTCAGATTCTTTTTGTCAGCATACAGATGGAATAAATATGGTCAAAGTATACAACCCTGACACACACATGCCTTGATTTTAAGTTATTAAGTATACCCTTGTTTTGTTATAATAAGTGCTTCTTAGTCTATGCCCAGGTTCATCATGAGCACTATTAAGTGTTCTGGAACACCCATTCTTCAGAATGTGATCCATTGTTTGTTATGATCCACATAGTCAAATGCCTTTGTGTGATCAATAAAACACAAATAAACATCTTTGTGGTATTCTCTTTCAGCCAAGATTCATCTGGCATCAGTAATGATATTCTTCTGAATTCAGCTTGAATTTCTGGCAACTTCCTGTCTCTGTTGTTGCATCCATTTTTGAATTATCTTCAGCAGAATTTTACGTGTGTGTAATTTTTATATTGTTGGATAATTTATATATTTTGTATGGTCACCTTTCTAAATATAGATCTCCTCCAATCAGTTAATAGCTGTCTTTGAAATTTCTTGGCATAGACTAGGGAGTGATTCCAGTGTTGCATCAGTTTGTTGAAACCTTTCAGTTGGCATTCCTTCACTTCCTAAAGCTAATGCCTTCAGTGCAGCTTGGACTTCTGTCTTCAGTACTATCAGCTCTTAATCATATGCTACCTCCTGAAATGTTTAAATGATGACCAATTTATTCCATTTGGTACTGTGACTGTATATTCACTCCATTTTCTTTTGGTGTTTCTTTTATCACTCAATATTTTGCCCAAAGAATCCTTCATTATCACGAGTCGAGGCTTAATTTTTTTCTTCAGTGCTTTTAGCTTGGGAAATGCTAAGCATGCTCTTCCTTTTTGGTTTTCTAACCCAAACTTAGAACTCCAGGTCTTTGTACATTTCATTCCAGTACTTTTTTTTTGTCTTCTCAAGCTCTCCTTTGAAATTTTCTTTTCATCATTTCTTGCATTCACTTTAGTTTTTCTATATTCAAAATCAAGTTCCAGAGTCCCTTCTAATATCCACTTTGGCTTTTCTTTGTGTCCTGTCTTTTTAATGACCTTTTGCGTTCTTCTTGGATAATATTCTTGATGTCATCCCACAACTTGCCTGGTCTTCAATAATTAGTGTTCAGTGTGTGAAATCTGTACTTGAGATTCACTCTAAATTCAGGTGGAATGTACTGAAGGTTGTATTTTGGCTCTCATTGACTTGTTTTAATTTTCTTCTGCTTCAGCCTAAACTCCCATATGATCAGTTGATGATATATTCTACAGTCTGCCCCTGGCCTTGTTTTGGCTGGTGATATTGAGCGTCTCCATTATCTCTTCCCACAGATGTAGCCAATTCGTTTCCTGTGCATTCCGTCTTGTGACGTCCACATGTATAGCTGTCAGTTATGTTGTTGGAAAAAGGTATTTGCAATGAAAAAATCATTGGTCTTGAAAAATTATATCATGCATTCTCCAATGTTATTTCTATCACCGTGGCCATATTTTCCAACTTCCAGTTCCTCGTCTTTGTTTCTAACTTTCACATTTCAGTCACTAGTAATTACCAATCCATGTTGATTTCATGTTTGATCAACTTCACACTAATGAATCTAGTGGTGGTAGTTGTGGTTGAGTTATATCAGACTCACAGTGACCCTGTGTAGAGTTCCCAAGGCTGTAAATCTTTTGAGGAGCAGAAACTTTCATCTCTCTCCTATGGAGTAGCTGGTGGGTTCAAACTGCTGACTTTGTGGTTAGCAGCCCAACACATAACCACTATGCTTCCAGGACTCCTTAAAGAAGTTAGTAGAATTCTTTAATTTCTTCATCATTTAACTTGGTGGTTGGTGCATAAGTTTGATTAATAGCCTTATTAACTGGTCATCCTTGTAGATGTATAGATATTATCCTATCAAAAACAGTATTGTATTTCAAGATAGATCTGGAAATATTCTTTTTGACAATGGATGTGGCACCATTCCTCTTGAATTTGATCATTTCTGACATAGTAAAACCATCTAATTGTTTGATTCAAAATGGCCAATACCTGTCCATTTCAGTTCACTGATGTGTAGGATATCAGTTTTTTTGTACTCTATTTCATTTTTGACAATTGCCCATTTTCCTAGATTCTTAGTTTATACACTCCATATTTCAGATTATTAATAGATGTTTGCTGCTGTTTCTTCTCATTTTGAGTCTTGCCCCATCAACAAATGAATCAAAAGCAAGCTTTGCTCCATCCTTGTAGATGGATAAGGCAACTCTTTTTCAATTGTATTTTGAGTGCCTTCCAATCTGAGAGGCTCATCTTCTGGCATCATATCAGACAATGTTTTACTGTGATTCACAAGGTTTCGAGGAGAAATACCTCAAAAGTGAACCTTTTTTTTTTTCTTTCCTTTCTAGGTAACAGAATAAAACTTAAGTTACAGTTATAAGTTAAAAAAAAAAAATCTAAGAATCAAAGTCAGGAATTTAGAAATCAGAAACATACAATTGTTGCCATTGGTTACTGTCGAGTTGGCTCATAGTGACCCCAGGCACAATGGAACAAAATGTTCCCTAGTTCTGCACCATCCATATGAGTTGTAAATAGCATGATTGTGATCCATAGGCTTTTCATTGACTGATTTCAGAAGTAGACCACACGGCCTTTCTTCCTAGTCTGTTTTAGTCTGGAAGCACCACTGGAACCTGCTCAGCATCACAGCAATATGTAAGCCTCCTTAGACATATGGAGGTGGCTGTGCTGATGGTGCATTGGCTCAACTATCTTATCTTAGAATGGAGATAAGGATACCTCTTATTACACAAAGTTCTTATGAGGATTAAATGAGATTATCTAAATAGTGTTTAAAATAATGTTGGGCACATAATAAGCAGTCAATAAATGTTCTTCATTTAGCTACTAATGTATTGTGGTTGTGAAGTGCCATCAAGGTGGTTCCGAGGAGCAGCTGGTGGATTTAACTGCTGACTCTGTGTTTTGAAATCCAGTGTTGATACTAAAGACATCATTTCTTTTACTTCATGGATGCTGAAACTGAGGATCATGGTTTTACCATGTTAGTAAATTATGGGCGTATTCAAAAGACCCTTCCTTGCTTCTTTTCCTTCTTTCTTTGCAAATGTGCTTAATTATTGAACTGAAATAAGCCACAATAATCCCTGCCTAATCGATTGGAATTTAGGACATGTGATTAAAACAATTTTCCCCTACTGCCCCACTCCCCTGCTTGTGCCATAACACTTGTAAGAAAGTATTTACATAACTTTTTCCCATTGAAATGAAATCATATTATTCTTTGAGGTTTTTCCCACTACCCTACCATTTTGCCATTAGCTATCAAGTCTCAAGTCCCAAGTTCTTTAATTGAATTTTCATACATGAAAAATCAATAGGGTAAAGAAAATAAGAACTAGTATTTACATAAGTGTTTATTGGAATTTTCTTTATCATCCTTCAGGTCTTGTAGAAATTTGCCTGATGCACCCTCTCGATGTGGTGAAAACCAGGTAAGGTTCTGCATGAACAAGTTTTATTGACTTTGGCAGATATCCAAATTAAGATTAGTCAGAGCACTGATTGCTAGAACTTGTCTTTGACTGGTAGCTTCTCCATATAATGACATTTATATTTACTTCTTAAAGAAAACACTATTTGACAGATAAAATGTGAACAGTGAAAAGCATTTCTGGATAGAGGTCATCTGAAGGTATTTAATATTTTACTGCCTTCACCTGACAACCATAAGGTATGATTTGTGACTATGCTGGTAAACGAGCTAAATTTATCAAAATGATGTAAGAACTAAACTTTATTCAGTGAATTATGACAGCAGACTTTCATTTGGCATTGTGTATAACAGATTGCTATTTAATAGTTAGCATTTTAGTGTGAGACTCCAAAATTTCAAGTAAGCGTCTTAAATGGTGCTTAAAGAATTTATTCCTACAACTGTTTGGCAATGCAAAATGTCATATTTCCAGGAACATGCATTTGCTCATAAAGAGAGATACAAATCAGGCAAAGAACCATGTGGCTTTGAATATGATCTTGAGCACTTAAAAAATGTTAAACCTGTGACTAAGTTCCTGAACTCTCTCTTTTTTAAATTAGTGAAAGGAGCCCTGATGATGGTGTGGGTTAGTAGCTGGGCTGCTAACCCTAAGGTCAGTGGGTCAAACACCCCACAAAATAAAAATGCGACTGACTTCCTCCTTCTGTAAAGATGTGCAATCTTGGAAACCCTATATTGGATTGCTGTAAGTTGGAATTGACTCTGTGGCAGTGGTTTAAAAGTGCTGTAAAAGTGTCTATTAATCTGCATTTTGTAAAACCCAAGAGCACCCTGAAAGGAATTACATAGAAGGTCCTGGATATAGAGTAGAAAACAATGTGTAACAAAACTCAAAACTATAAAACAAGACTGAGCTAATGGCTCAGAAAGAGACTAGAGGAACCTGAGACTATGGCCCTTGGCCACCCTTTAGGTTTGGAATGGAACTCACACTTATTGCCCAATTTTCAACCAACTGGTGAATAGTTATATAGGGGAAACAACAAAACTAGTGAGGTATGCTCACCATGGAATGGTCAACCATTCAAGATCAAAAGGGAAACATTTACCTGCAGACAAGCTTCAGAGGCGTTGGAAAGGAGGCTGGAAAGGAAATAGGAATCACAAGGAAAAACTGGGATAACTGTTGTTGCATGAAAGGGATTGCAATCCTAGAGATGAAACAAAATGTGTGATTTGTTAGTTATAAAAGTGATGATTTGCTCTGTAAACCTTCACTCAATTCACCATAAAACGTTTCAAGAAACAAAATCCAAGAGCATCATGACTAGATTGGTGCCATGCAACAATGGTGCTAAAACTTGAATGTCAAAATTAGAAAAAAACTTGATGATCTAGCTGGTTGGTGATTGGGCAGGCCATGTTGCTTAATCTGCCTAAAGAGGCAGCAGAATCTTAGTCTGGTTACTGAAATCAGGGGAAGGTGACCGTGACCAGCACTGGATAATAAGCACTGAAATGCTAACCATGAGATCAGTGGTTCAAACCCACTAGCCACTCCTTAGAAACCATATATAGTAGGGTCACTATGAGTTGGAACAAACTCAATGGCACTTAACAATAGCAATAGAAAAGGATCCCTGGTAGTACAATGGTACATGCTTGGCTGCTAAGCAAAAGTTTGGCTGTTCAAACTCACCTGGCCACTCTGGGAGAAAGACTTGTTTTCCTAAATATTATTTATCGTCAAGAAAACCCTATTCTTGTATGTAGTTCTACTCTGTGACATGAGGTCACTGTGGGTCAAAGGTGGCTCAAGGGCACCCAACAACAGCAACAAGTAAAATATAGACAATGAGAATTTAGCCCCAAGTCACAGGACCCAAAGAGAGAAAGAAGAACTCCGCAAACTATGTTCAAATACACAATGTGTGCACGGCTGGAACACTCTTTATACAATGAACAGAGACAGACAGCCAAATTGGCATTTCTATTTTAGACTCTATTTACTTAAACCTTCTTTGAAAAGCCAGGGTGTTGTTGCTTCTCTCACTGAGGAATACATTGTCTTTTTCATTTCGTGTTTATTTCTGAAATGAATACGTGTACACATGAGAATATAGGAGAAATAAAAGTAATTTAAATGAGGCATTATATTGAAATTGTGGTTGCTCTCTCATTCCCTCAATACTTCACTTATCCGTTTAGCAAATATTTATTAAGTATCTAGTGTGTGTTTCCATATCATTGGTCAATGATACTGAAGGAAGAAGTCCAAGGTGCATTGAACGAATTTGCAAAGAACAAGGCACCAAAACTTAATGGAATACAAATTGAAATCTTTCAAGAAAGTGAGGTGGCACTGGAAACACTCATTCATCTATGCCAAGAAATTTGGAAGGCAGCTATCTGGCCAACTGATTGGAAGAGATTCGTATTTGTGTCCTTTCCAAAGAGAGGTGACCCAACAGAATGAGGAAATCATCAGACAGTATCTTTGACATCCCACGTGAGTAAAGTTTTACTAAAGGTAATGCCGAAATAGATACAAGCATTCACTGACAGAGGATTTCCAGAGGTTTAAGTCAGATTCAGAAGAGGAAGTGGAACAAGGGAGGGATATCATTGCTGACGTCAGATGGATGTTGGTTGAAAGTAGAGAATACCAGAAAGATGTTCACCTGTGCTTTAATGACTACGCAAAGACTTTCGACTGTGTGGATCATGACAAGCTATGGACAACATTGCAAAGTATGAGTATTCTGGAACACTTAATGTGCTCATGAGGAATCTGTAAATGGATTAAGAGGCAGCTGTTTGACCAGAACATGGGAACACTGAATGGTTTAAACTTAAGAAATCTGTGTGACAAGATTGTATTATTTCATCATACTTATTCAACCTGTATGCTGAGCAAATAATCCAAGAAACTGGGTTCTATGAAGAAAAACGTGGCATCAGGATTGGAGGAAGACTCATTAACAACCTGTGATATGCAGATGATACAACCTTGCTTGCTGAAAGTGAAGAGGACTTAAAATACTTACTGATGAAGATCAAAGACTACAACCTTCAGTATGGATTGCATCTCAATGTAAAGGAAACAAAAATCCTCACCACTGGACCAATAAACAACATTCTTAACAATGGAGAAAAGATTGACATTGTTAAGGACTTCATTCTTCTTGGATCAAACATCAACACTCATGGAAGCAACAGTCAAGAAATCAAACGACGTATTGCATTTGGCAAATCTGCTGTACAAGACCTTTTTTTTTTTTTCAAGTTTTTATTGTGAGGTTTACATGGGAGAACATCAGCTTTATACTCATCCTATCGTATTTCATTTCATTGCAATGATTACAGTCCCCTCCATGCATCATCATATAACCCCAAAGGATACACCACACAGGCCTGCCTCACCCCACTCGCCCCCCCCCCCGGATGCCAGCACATAGCCTTTCTCCCACCCTGAGTCCAGAGTCCCCAGCTGCTCCATCTGTCCACATCATCTTCTCTGTCTCCATCCCTGGTGTCACTGCCTCTCTGGGTAAGGTCCCACTCTCCGTTCTTCTCACTTGTTGGTTCCAGGGACCTCTGCTCCTGGGCTGCAAAATCACTCAAAAAGCATCTACCGCTATATTTCCTAGCCTCACAGTCAGACCTGATGGCAATTATTCACTATTGTAGCACATGAGTCTTATCCCTATTTCCTTTCACCAGCCCAGTCCCAACGGATTGGAAATCATTCAGTGGTGATTCTACCTTGCCCCTCCCTGTCTGGAATTAGGCTCTCTCTTAAAAGCTTGTAAGCCACTCACTTCTTGCCTTTATAGGCACCCCAATTTTGGGCAACCAATGCCCATGTTGCCTATCCCTGTCAACCCTGTGTACCAAGGGGATGGGAGTGATCCTTGCTATAAAGGTTTGTTCCCTTTTTTGAGCTACTACATCCATAAGTACAAGTAAAGTCATCAAATTGTAGCAGGTTACTCTTTTTTTGTCCCCTCTTCTTTCTTCTTCTAATCAAGTTCTGATCATTTAGCCATTAAAGCCAGGTCTGCAAGTATGGGTGTTCTTGTGCCACTACCCTCACTTCATATCAGCTGGACACTTCACTCTCCACTCTAGTCCTCTGTGGCCAAGTCACTGTCTCTGGGCCTAGGAATCCCTGGGTCTTGCCATACTGATGGCCATCCAGGTCTTCACCCAGATTCACGGGGGTCTATTGAATGTGGACAGGCTTAGCTTGTAGCTTCATTGCTGTTTTTTACCCCCTCATCCCTTATTGGTGAACAATGTGGTCACCATCGAGACAACATGTCTGCTCATCTATTCCCCTTGAGTCTCAGTCTTAGAAGGAGATTTGCTCTGAGGGGTCCCAACCACTTGCCTTGATGGCTCTCAGGCAAAGAGCTTACTTATTCTTGTAGGAATCAATCAGACTGCTGTTATTGTTTCAGATTTCTCCTGCTGGTCTTTCTTTCACAAAATATCTTCTGTTCTTTTAGCCATTCCAGGCTGGTCTACTCATCCTTTCCAGTGGAAATTTCCTTCCTCAGTCGGTTCTGGATGGGGTTCTGGATTCAACCTATGGTCTTGCACAACACCTTTTTAAAGTGTTGAAGAGCAAATATGTCAGCTTGAGGACTAAAGGTGTGCCTGACACAAGCCATGGTATTTTCAATAACCTCATATGCATGTGAAAGTTGGAAGATCATTGAAGAATTGATGCATTTGAGTTATGGTGTTGGAGGAGATTATTGAAAGTACCATGGCTGCCAGAAGAACCAACAGATCTGTGTTGGAAGAAGTGCAGCCAGAGTGCTTCTTGGAGGCCAGGATGGCCAAACTTCATCTCTCATACTTTAGGAATATTGTCAGGAGGACAATATTGCTAGAGAAGGATATCTTGTTTGGTAAGGTGGTGGGTCAGAGAAAAAGAAGTAGACCCCCAGCAAGATGGATTGGCAAAGTGGCAGCATCAATGGGCTC